GCCAACCGAACCTAAATACCTAACCTAACCTATGCCTATATATGCACAATATGCTAATATATTATAATATTAATTTATATTTGAGAAAATTCTTGTTTTGAATGAACAGCAAGTTAAAATTTATGAATGCGTCTGTGGGGGCGACCGCTGGATGTAATGGACTTGAGTCGAGGACGGGTTGTAAATGCTTACAACAGAAGCTCCCCTATAACTCTGTAATATCTCCATTGGTCAAACTATTATGTATTAGCGATAAGACCTATCATTAATGTATAATGACTTACTGTAAATATATAGCTCTTGAAATAGTACTTTCTCTGTAACTAGCTGATATTGTAACTATAAGGTGTGAAGGATAGATGAAATTGTTTATGTAATAATCTAAGATGAGGTCTGATAAAGACCTTTTGTGCCCTCTGTAATGCATTTTGCGCTACCGCTCACGGGATGAGTATGAGGTGCACAATAAACTAGCCGCCTCCGGCGGCAACAATCAAAAAATAAAAAATGCTTCACCCGTACTACAAATACAAATAATCGGCAACAGAGCCTAGACACCTAACCGAACCTAAGCAGTGCCTAAATACGCACAATATGCTAATATATAATAATATTAATTTATATTTGAGAAAAGGTATGTTTTGAATGAACAGAATGTTAAATTTGTTGAATTGTTGAATGCGTCTTTGGGGTCGACGGCTGGATGGAATGGACTTGGTCCGAGGACGGGTTGCATCCCCTTGGAATACTCTTCTCACACAATACAGCTAAATTGGTCCCACCCTCTGGTCGTTGTGGCTATTTAAACGCCAAACACATACGTGTGGACAGCTCATATAATAATATGTATTGATTATGTTAGATTATGCATAGTTTTGCAGAGGAATACATTGAGGGCATATATTCCTATGATTGTTTTAATTCCTTTTCCTGTATTGTACACGTTGTCGTATTCATTATAGGAATTATACAAAAAATAATCGGGCAGTGTTAGCAAATAATTTATTACTCAAAGTTCAAGAATGTTTATTAAGATAAGAAAGAAATACATCTCAAAGGGATAGAGTAGCTTAGGCTATTTCTACCCCCCCCCCCTATTACTCAAAGTACTATTACTTGATATTTGTCCATTTTTATGGAAGCAAAAAAAATGCTGGTGGGCCCTAGGCCATGTGCTACTTGCCCTATTGGGTAATCCGGCCCTATTCCATGTGATAAAATGTATTAACCATAAAAGGCCACAAAGGAGAGCCCATTGCTGTACAATCTGACAGTACAGATGGGTATTAAAAAATAACAAAAGTCCTCAGCAGCAAGTCAGAGAAGCCATTTTAATTCTCCAAATCAGAGAACAAATAATGGGTAAATGTCAATAGTTTCATGCAATGGAATAAGACACCCAACCTATATACTTCAAACCTTTTCTATACTCTATCTTATACGTCAACCTTTTTTTGTATAACATTTCAAACCTATTCCTGTACTTCTTACTTTACTCCTATTCTTCAACCTTTCGCCTCATATCACTCTTACCTTATAAATTGAAATTGACATTATCTACCACTCTTCCCCCCCCCCCTCCCCTCCCATTACACCTGATAATGACTTCGGACGGACAGAAATTTGAATGTCTTTATTTTCAGATGTATGTAATTTTTAGCCATGTTATTGTGACTTCTGTTTATGTGCAATGGAATCTTTGTCATTAGGGGACCCCACACCAAAACTAAACATAACAACCTAGTCGAATTGGAACCAAAATTGACATCTAGAACAATTTTATGGCATTGTAGTTAACTGTTCTATGATGTGAAATGGGAAGCAAAAACTATGCCAAATTACAATTAGATGTTCATTTGGCACACACAATAGATGGAATTGTGGAACCTTATGCTGGGCAGGGTTTTCTTTCGATTAAATGATCACGAATTAACCCATTTGCTATGGGAAATGTTATTTCCCATTTTTGGTTTTGATAACGAGAATCAAGGAAACCGCAGAAGGCCTATTGGGTCATGCAAGGCCGTTCCTAATGTAAACCAAACTGTAACCGCTCTTGCAACTTACCCAACCTACCATTGACCATATTGACCACTCAGTGACCCCGTCTGTCAACTTACCTTGGAAATATTTTCCATATCAGTATTCACACATTTCTTTAATGTAAACTTTACTATGTTTGTTTCCATCTATTTTGTGCTAATAATTTAAAGACAATATTAATACTATCCCTCTTTCGTCCATTTGTTTACTTCAATTATATCTCCTTTTCCTTTACTGCTTTACTTTTCTAGACAATGTAAATCAATTAAGTAATTATCAAAGAAGGCACCAAGCCGGGAAGGCTATGTATCAAAAATGTAAATCAAGCCGTTTTCCAATTGTGTGGTGATGCAATCCGAGATTAACTTTCAGCCTTCTCTACATTTGAGGTTTTCTCTTGCATAGTAGCACCCAAACCTGAACTGCATAACTAGAGAAAATGATGAAAAATAACATCTTATTGCTAACTCTGCTTGTCATGACAAATAAAAGGCCATTGTGAATCATCGAGTTTGTGCAGTTGTTTACAGCTATAATTTCTTCTGAATGTACTTCTGGGTAGGGGCATGTCAGAATGCAACCCGTTCTCGCAAATTCGTAAAGTCAATATTGACTTATTAACTACGTGCATAGGTGATACACTAAACATAATAGATACCCTTAAAAAGATTCATAGAAAACACCGACCTTACCTAACCTTGTTAGTATCTTAAGATAAGCATCTTATTGCTTCGTAATTACAATTATTACTTAACCTATACCTATTATAGGTTAGGTAATAATTGTAATTACGAAGCAATAAGATGCTTATCTTAACATACTAAGTAGGTTAGGTAAGGTCGGTGTTTTCTATGAATCTTTTTATGGGTATCTATTATGTTAAGTATGTCACCTATGCACATATTTAATAAGTCAATATTGACTTATTAAATTTGCGAGAACGGGTTGCGGAATGACAGATTTGCCATGTCATCAAGCCTTTTATACATACACAGTACCAATTACCGTGGCATGGTCCATCAAAGGGAAGGTGAACAGGAGAATAAAGCAAGAAGACGAGTGAATACTTCCCGTGAGAGGCGACTATATATATATTTCAGGCCATTCTACACATTTGATGACGAAGAGAAATTATTATCCAGAGTACAGCATAATGAAAGTTTATTGAAAGCAGAAGGAACTTGTTATTTCGGAGAACAATAATCTGGACCAGCACTTCGCTACCAGGTTACCAAATGACACACAGTGGCCTTTAATAACAATTACATTAAAACAGTGCTATAACAAAATATATACAAATACTAATTATTTCAATAAATGATTGTTAAAACTGCGTGTACAGGCTGTATTGTGTATTTCGCTACACAAAGGAGTTTTTGTTTTCATTGCTGGCACGTCTCTTTTGCCATGTACAGGTGTAGTTGCCTACCCGTCATTCTTCCTTTACATAATACAAGTTATATTCTATAACCGAAACATTTTCTTTCATAAATTTATCTATTTTCCAAGAACATGCCTGATAGCAACATAATCAATGTAGAGGAGTTAAGAAGAGGCAAGTTACTCTTATCAATTAAGACTAATATTTGTCATGAAGCTTTGTTCAACTGGTCATGCTGATGCAAGCATTGGGAGTAAATTTGAGGTAGGTACAAGTAGTGTGTTTGATATTAAGAGAAATACCCAGTACATGCAGCTTTACAGTAATTTTAAGGTTATGACCGGTTGATGTGCAGACTTTAATTTCTTCAATGATCAAGACAGCTGTTAACTCAACCAAGTTTAATTGTTCAATTTATATTTATAGTGCCACAGCAATGTAAATACATGTATATTGTTTAATATATATGTAGAAATGTGAATTAAAGTTATTTATTGATATGCATTGTAATAAATCTGGATCTAGGTCATTGTCCACTAATGTTCCTAATTAACAAGCTCATGTAGTGCGCCAATATCCAACTGAAGCACTACCCAAAGACAATCTTTAACAACGGTAAATTTAGAAATACTACTTGGTGGCACTTCTTGCTCCTCTACTAGTATAAAATAACTTCCAACCGTCAAGGATACAGTACGGTTTTGTATTGGCTTAAACAAATTAAAAATATTTGCCATTTACTTCTTGTTTAAATATTATTTTTATGAAATATCAAGCATATATTACAGTAGAGAAAGAGCATCATTGTTCTGTACTGCAGTGCTATTTTATTCTAGGAGTGCACTTTGTCTACTACTACTACTACTAAAAAAAAAGTATCTAAACATTTTCCTTGTACTACATGATCTTATATTTTTCTTCTTACACAAAACATGCATTTAAAATGCGATGTTACACAACATAGCATCTGTGTATATAAATACATGCAAAGCTGTGTTAAGTACAGTATTTGAGGAATATAAAAAACAGACATGAAACTTTGACACTAGTCCAACCCTAATTAGTCCGTTGCACTGATATTGTGTGTTGTGTTGTACTGCTTTTTGTTGTCTCCCAGGAAAGACTTCCTCACCACTTACACAACCTGAACACCTTTCCTTAATCACGGCAGTTGTTTTCACATTTTCCATAACCTGAACACCTTTCCTCAATCACAACACTTTTCCTCACATTTATTAAACTGTTTACAAGCTTCAAAACTTCACAAACCAAGGTTATTATTGTTATAAATGATAGCTTAATGAGCATAAAAATAAAAAGCTGCCATGATCGAGGAAAGATGTACAGCTTTCGTAAGTGGTTGCGTAAATGCTCGACGAATCCTGACGGTGCTATTCTATTTGGTACCTGTTTATATTCGCCAAACATTGTATATGAACATTTAACTTACAATTTATAGCCCTTGTTACAACTCCATCCATGTTACCCATTATGTTCGATAACCCCAAAACGATATTCAGGTCTTTCATTAATATAGATTTTTCCAATTTATTATAAAGTGGTTTATTAAAAGCAATTTTGAATATACTGAACTGTATTTTACTCAACGTTTCTAAAACCACCATACAAAATCCATGTTGACATCTTAATTTATATGATAAAACAATATACCGAGATAGAAAATGAAACAATATCCAAAGAAGCCGTTTTGGATCTGGATGTGAAGAACGCTGCAAATCTGTTTGGATGCTGGTGCTATCTATTGAGAGCCAGACAAACTTGTCTAGTCTCTCAGTCTTCAGCTGAAAAGATATTGAAATATTATTTTAGAATAAAATAAATATCAGCAAAACAGCTGGGGCAATAAAGCCATTAACACACAGACATTTATATTGAATTTCATTACTTTACAACATTTTTATTCATATGGTATACAAGTGTACAAATCTCAAACTTGTAAAACAAGCAAAATGTTACAATTTTTATAAGACCCCAAAGAGCCACTGATTAAATCACAGTAGTCAGTAGAGCAAGTAATGAGAGGGGAATAAGTAATTATCGAGAAAAAAATAAAATAAAGTTCCAGAAAGACTAACACCTGTCGTGAGATATTAAAAGCGTCTAGATATTACTTACGATGCCAATACTAGAGAAAAAAAAGAATAAGATGAACAATGTCTAAAGTACAATTCTCCCCATAAATCTTATCAAGGGGGAAAATATACTGAGGGCATAATGACAATCTCAAAATGTAAGGCATTTACTTCAATATCTTAACACAATTTTGGTGTCCTCTAAATGTAAAGTTTTCAAAACTTTATCGTACTGTCTACAGTATTACTCAACAGCCATACTTAAGATCAATTTTTTAATAGTTTAAATTTATACTCTCAGAACTTGTGTATTTAATCTGCAGCTTAAATCTAGACTTAATCATATCCTCATTAAAAAAAGGATTTGATTCCACATTTTTTTGAGACTGACATAACAATGTGAAACTAAAATAACACAAAAGCATTTACATTTGAGTAAGTACCTGTGTATAGCAACCAATATAAAGTTATCCTTTTGCAACAAAATACATGTCAAGTAGAAAATTTTTGGTGCCACTAAAGTCTCTCTATATATCATTCAACATTAAAATCACCTTAAAAGTAGATACTTACTCTCTTCTCCAGGTTGCTTATCATTATCCTCTTCATCTGACTCAAATGTGTTATCAGGGATGTCATACAAACGAATCATTGCCTGCAAAAAAAGGTTATTTATATTTATCATTCCATGTTTTCATAACGTCTTGAATCACAAAAGCATTTGAATTATGTTTGTTCCATTTTTCCTACATGGATACTTGTATATGCATCACTTCTGGTGCAACTGTAGGGACCCATAGCCTTGGAGAAGGGAATATAGAGCATTCAGAGAAAAACCTGCCATTTGACTCACACATATTTTGAGTATTTGCCTCTACTACCCCTTTTATCACTATTGTCATACACTTTATTATACCATACAAGGTTATATATTATATATACTGTACTGAATTGATATAGTGAATATGAATTTATACAATAATTATATATTATAATAATTTTATCTATATAATAATTTTATACATTATATATATATACAAAAAACACGTGCACATCATATACTTGCCTATAAGCCACAAAATAACTACCTCCAGCTTGACTCTTGGATATTGATAAGCTCACAAGTAACAACTTAAAGAGTACACCTGAACTGATGTACATCGAGCACCTAGCTGATGCTCAATCCAATTTTCACATTACCAGTATACACACAGCTGTATGTAATGGCATTCTCCATCAGAAATTTTCTCAGATATATCGCAGCGTCGAGATTTCATACTGCATAACATTTAAACAATTTGAAAGAAACTCAAAAGGTGAAAGAATGTAAATTTAAATGAAGTTAGGTATTTAACTACAATTACCCACGAATGCATTTTTTCACACAATACACCTCCCAAGAATAAATACTTCCACTAAGAGGTATGAAAATCCTTTTTCAACATTAGCATACAAAATTTATTACCTTGTTAGGATCCTTCATTATGAGGTACTTCCCATCAGGCAACTTCATACAGATGTCAATAATACAACGCAGGATACCCCAGGCATTGTCCATACTTAGGTTGATTTGGTTGGCAAACTCCATGGGCCTAAACTGCTGAGTCCCCAAGATCATGTGCTTGGTCGAGTCTCGAACATTGACGCGAGACACATAACTGTATAGAAGCAAGAAAAAAAATCAACAGTAACTAAAATGCAGAATATATTGATACTAATGGTACAACCACACAAATTTGCATTACAAAATATCACATCCCCCATTTCCTATTTTCCTGGGGAGAGGAGTCAACTATCCAGAAATGATCGACAAGTGTGATACATTAATTTTTAAGGATACTATTCATAATACTTTACAAATGACATCAAAATAACATCACAGGCTGGCCCGTGTGTTACGATTAATTACAATCCCTTACTGACCTTGAATTGAATGTAGGTGGGAACATTACACAAGCATTCAAGTATAATGTGGTGATGTTATTTCATGCCCAATGCACAAGTTGTCTACAGACTGGCAATAACCTGGGGCCAGATTTACGAAGCAGTTATGCAATTACTTACAAACGTGTACATCTTTCCTCAATCTTTGACGGCTGTGGTTACATTTATTAAACAATTTACAAGCAAGAAAACTTCCCAGTCAACTGTTGTTATTGTTATAAAGTCTCCTGATGCTTCGGAGTTCATTACCAGTTTAATTATTGTAAACGAAGCCGCCAAAGATTGAGAAAAGATGTACAGGTTAATAAGTGCTTGCGTAACTGCTTCGTGAATCTGGCCCCTGATTATTAAACCTGGCTGATTATAATATGGAATTAATAATATATTAGGTTTTACAAAAATGCAAAGCTAAAGCTTTATTTTGATATGTTGCCCATAAATGTATATAAAAAAAAAACGTTTGAAGTGATTGAGATTACAAAACAATCACAGTTGATGGACAAATACATGTCGTATTATAACTTTTTGCTGGCATCGCTCATGACAACCTTGTGGAAGGGATTCAAATTGCTTGGAAAATGAAGAAAAGGCAATGCTGTACTTCTAAAAAACTAGTTTCATAAATATCTGTACTTCAATTTACTGACAGGTCATAGGACTTTTATATCATAATTCAATGATAATTCAATAATACTTCCATTTTATTATATATAATTTAAACTATTTGGTTATAAAATATAAAGCGAGAAAAATCTTCATAAAGAAACCTGAATGATAATTCACTAAGATGAAGAATAATGGAACATGTAAGCAATAACTATGCAAAATTAAGATTGGGCAGATCAGAGAAGAAAAACTGTTTTGTGCACATGATTAATTGCATTAACAAATGATTTGATAATGTAAGCAGAATGCCATTGTGTTATGTGCCAAGTGTAACTGATGATAAAGATAGATGATTTAGATAAATTGGAATCATAAGCAAGTGCAAAACAAAACAGGAATTTTACTGGCTAATCAATTAATGGAAAATATTTGGATATCAATACTGTAGCATGGTTATCCTGTACATGGAAAAAACGAGACTGAAAGCTAGACTAACTTTGCTACACTCAAAAAAAAAAAAAAAAATGTAATGTATGTATAATGTGAACTAGCTCAAATGAGCTACAAGTACATGGGGGTAGACCCAATTTGTTTCAGCAGACATTTTCATCGTCTCAGATATCCTATCCAAGGGGCAAGTTTTTTCCCCTTTCAACATTTAGGTACAAATAATCAGATCATGTAAAACACATTTATTTATTTTGAAATCTGTTGACCAAATGGCTGGCTGACAGACCTATTCTACTTGCTATGAATAGCAAGAACTATGTATAGGCCTCTGACCAGTAGAGAGTAGCTAGGCTCATGTAGAGGGAAGGGCAGGAGCAAAGAGGTTGAGGAAAAGGAAAGGGGCAAGGGGAAAAGGAAAGGGGCAAGGGGAAGAGGAAAGGCAGAGATTTGTGATTTGTTTTCTCAAGATAACCTGTCAACAGTTAAACCACTACTCACACAAGGAAAGAGAAATGAAACTATCAGGAGAAAGCGCCAAGCTATTACGACTATTTAGCACTAGGAAGGGATCAGGATAAGGATTTGGGATGGGACAGGGTGAAGCAACGGTGCCCAACCACTTGGATGATTGGGGATTGAACGCCAACCGGCATGAAGTGAGACCGTCGCTCTACCGTCCAGCCCAAGTGGTTGGGCTACTCACACAAGGAGTGGTGGAAATCTTGTGGAGTGATAGGACAATTTGTTACAGAATGTTATACAACAAAAAAGCCTGCCTAAATCTAGCCAAGTATCATGCCTGCTGGTCAGGCCCAACCATGCCCTAGCTGTTTACTTAAAGCAATCCATTAATAACATGCTCACCACAATACACTACTTAAAATTGGTCAACACTAAATGAACCTATTAAAGGTTATTCAAACATAATTAAAAGATGAAAAATACAATGTTTACAATTTCAAGAGCCCATAAATATGGAAAAATTTTACATGTGGATGCGTGTCAGTGATCGGGTGACCAAATGCTACATCTAACTACCAAATCAATCTTTCCAAGCTATCTCACCATGAAGTAAAAGATAAACAATTTGGCTTGTCTTCTTTTGTAGGCTTCTTTACATTTTCTATTAAGGCTTGGAAGTGGCCAATACGAACAGTAAAAGTGAAAATAAATGCCAAGGTGAACAGTAGAAGTGAAAATAAACTAAGATGCAAGAACGCTCCTTTTTTTTCTAAACCAGAATTTGTTTGGAGTGAGCAGTAATTTGCTAAAACAAGATTCATTTCAGCAAATTCACACTGTATAGTATATTAATTTTTTAGGTCACTTTTTCAAAAAAAAATTTAAACTTACCCAAATTTGACCTGATCAGATCCTGCTAATATGGCCTGGACAGTCCACTTGGCAAGCTTACAAGCATTATTCTTAAGTTCATTAGCCAATACAGCACCACGCTGAGTATCAAGCTTTTGGCGCCAATCAACTCCACCAGAGTGCTTGGAATCCCATTCATTCAGTGCCTGTTATTAATCAAATCCATTAAACCACACACAAGAATATTTTGGAACTAAAATATATTGGCAGTATTTGATTATTTCAAATAATCTAGTCTAGTTAGTACTGTACTAAAGTTACAGCAATACGAAAACCTTAAGAGAAAAGAACTACCAACCTTAATGTTAATGAACTGGATTTCATTGTTAGGTGCAGCTTGTACAGAATCATGTTCTGTGCGGGCCACCAAGTTGATATCATTCCCTAAACACCACTTGCGGTACCGATAACCAACAGGGGCCACCTCGTCCTCTTCGTCCTCGTCAAGGAATGGGTTATCGTGTTCGAACTTGTATCTATTTCCATCCTAAGAAATAAGAAATGTTTTACCACTAACTGAACTAACTTCTTTTAAAAGGATGTCATACCGGTTGAGACAAAGTTTCCAATCCTTGATATTGTAAGTTTTCTTTCGACACTTTCTTAAAAGCAAGCAATTATTTAAAGAATTCAATAGGCATCAGATTCCCTTAGTATTTTGTGGCATACAGTAAGACAATGTTGTACTTTAAAGGGACGTGAAGGGTTAAGAGCCCTGGACCATGAGAGCACTGCAACCATCACTCGTCGGCGTTCAATCCCCGACTATCCAAGTGGTTGGGCACCATTCCTCCCCTCCCCCCTGTCCCTTCCCAAATCCTTATCCCTGACCCTTTCCCAGTGCTGTATAGCCGTAATGACTTGGCATTTTCCCCCTGATAGTCCTCTCTCACTTACAATAAGTGAATATTAGTGCTTGAAAAATGACCGCCACATGGTGCACAAAAATGCATATCAGTCTGCTGTAAAAATGATCATCACTGTGGAAAGACAATACAAAGGCTAGATCAGGTAAATTAACAGTAAAGACATCATCATCAGCAGACTTTTGAGCCAACCAACAACATTAACAATAGTGTGGAAATGGCTGTGAAAATGTTATAGAACATGGCATTTCAGGTAAGTAGGTGAAGGGAGTCGCAGACTTCACCACACATATTAGAGCTTTACAAAATTTAAACGGAGCTCTCCATGAGCACAAGGTAAATACAACATAATTGGGTACATTGTGAACATATAGAGGGAAGCCAGCAAGTGGGCAATCTGTGTTGCAAAAGACTACAAAGGAAAGTGAGCACAGTAAAGGGGAAAAAGAGCCAGAGCTCAACCCCCGCAAGCACAACTAGGCGAGTACAGCTGTCAATGGAAGGCAGCAGTCAAGGTGTGGTACAAGTGAGAATGGGGACTTTTGTAGTGTCTACACACAGTATCAAATGGCAATACTGATCATAGATCCTGAGGCTTCCAACTAAAGCCCAATCAGGATTGCTCTGACCATGTTGCGGTGTAGTGGTCTAGGGTGTTGGTCTACCAAGCACTTGCTAGTGCTTGGAAGTATCAAATGAGTTGGTTAACACCCTCCTCATGACTCCTACTCCTTTTCTCAATAATAATAATAATAATGCTGTAATAACAACAATAATATTGCCTTAAAAGTTTCAAATTAGATTACTCATCAAATTAAGACAAATTACAATGTTAAGTTTCAGGTTGCACACAAATGACAAGTAACCTTAATATTCCTTGACCAAATGTAAATATTCCCACGTGACAGCGAAGAAAAACTCACATTGCGAAGAACTTGCTGGGAGAAATTGTGGTTGATGAAGGTTGCCTCTAAAGATAAGTTTCTAGGAGAATTCAGGGAGTTTCCTTCTTCCTGTGGTGGTTCACTTGAAGTTTCACTCACAGTCAATAAGTCTAAAAGGAAAAATGTGTACTGTAATTTACACATGCAATTGAACCTGGAATGAGTATACGAATGAGTGAATATACAAATATATGAATATACGAATGGGTGGAATGGCCACTAGAATGGGTTGAATCACAGAACTACTGATCTTAGATTTAAAGAATTTTTTCAATGTCTACTGCTCAGTGAAATTTAAGAAGCAAACAAGTGTGCTCAATCAATTTCAAAGTAACCAAAATTATGTAGTTCAATATTTTTTGTAAATAGTATTTGTTAATACAATAACCCATTCTTTTAACAATTATAATTAGAAAAGAATAATGCTTGATTGCTAGATACTAACACTTAGCTACAGGTACTCTGAGAGAGAACTCTATCAACATCAGAGGCCCGAGACTGTTCAACACACTTCCACTACACACGAGGGGCATAACTGGCAGACCCCTCACAGTGTTCAAGAGAGAACTTGACAAACACCTCCAAAGGATACCTGATCAACCAGGCTGTGACTCATACGTCAGGCTGCGAGCAGCTGCGTCCAACAGCCTGGTTGATCAGTCCAGCAACCAGGAGGCCTGGTCGACGACCGGGCCGCGGGGATGCTAAGCCCCGGATGCACCTCAAAGTAACCTCAAGGTAGCTGATTGAAAGTCTTTAGCATTCAGATCTTGTTAAAAAATGTATCTATTTTAGCCAGTCATTTTCTTTGACGTCTTTAATGGTCAGTTATTCCTGCCACTTATAGTCCGGATATAAATATCCACCATATGGAATTTTATCTGTTGTAAGGATAATTTATCAACAGACCCATGCTTGCACTAATTGAATTAAACTTTGTAATTAGGTTGGATATCAGGTTGCCAAGCAACCTGATATTCTTAACTTCATGAAAATAGAGGAGAATGTGAGGCAGGAATTGATGAACCCGAGAGCTTTCCCAAGTCAAGCTGCATGAACTTCGGGAGGAAACAAAGCAACAACGGAAAGAAGGGCAACATTAACCCCTTAGTGACAGCTTAAGTCATGACATAAGGTTTTTCAGATAAACCAAAGATTAGGAAGACGGCTTATCTATTGACAAATTAGTAGGATAAATTACTATAATAAATTTATAAATGAATTAAGTGGCATTCTAAATAACAACTGAATGGCTAAACAGAACAAAACAGGCAACCAAAAACTGAAAGGGATGACAGGGAAGACCAGGATAAACTGTTTATAGAGCTGCCTGGTAGCTATTCAGCTTTACCACATCCTATAGAGGAAGTACTATACTAGGCAAAAACTAAGCATCACAGCTTTATTAACACTATCGTCCGGTGATCACGTATAGTGCATCTAAAAATTTTCTCACTAATGTACACCAATCACACACATTGCATCATATTAAAATATTTGTTAAAATTCTAATTTTTATCCGATCTTTCTGGGACTGATTTTAAAATGAGCACTTGTAAATTGCACACATTTTGATACCATAATGAATGACGTAGCACGACAATCGAGATCAGAACACTGGAAAGATTATAAATACTTGTAGTGATGAGCATCCAAAAAATTTTAAAGGTTAAAATTCCATTTATTGTTCAAGTATTATGGGACTAGTTTTAAATCGCACACCTATAGATTGCGAACAATTTGATATCAAAATGAACGACATAGCTCGAAAATTTAGGTCAGAACACTGGAAAGAGTATACATGTCCCAGGAATCGCGGGGCCGGATATGAATCACCAAACCCGCCTTGGGATGGGTTCGGGCGCGCGCACCGAGAGCAGGAAAGTCAACACATTATGAAAAATTCTTTACCACTTAAAAAATAAGTATTGTATTAATTCACATTTACACACCTTTAGTGTCCCCCACCTCCCAGATCCAGTTACTGGGGTCTTTATTGTAATATAAAAATTTAAATAGAAAAAATATCATGTCATTATGAAGTTACAGTACAGTATTCTAATTACAGTCCTGCATATTTAACCAAAATTCTAAAAATCTATTAAACTTACCAAATTCTGAATCATCTCTCTTGTCAAAGAACAGCTTCCCAGCAATTTTCTGGACGACCACATCCCACGAGTTGCTAGATCGAGTGCAACACATGATGGTTGACAAGATGGCATCCGTTGCGTAGACATTACTATCTTCAGTCTTGGTCAACTGTAAACCAAATGATTTAAACTTCTAATACTTCAGTCATGAACGTAAGACCACAAGAATAAATTTTTGGCTAAAAATTATCTCTGCCATATTTTCTTTTTTATATTAGACATCTTACTAACAAGTTATTTCCATTTCAAGTAAGCAACACACAAAGAGGATGTACATAATCACAGATAAAATTAAAACATTTGCAAATTAATCAAATTTAAAGCTCTAAAAAAAAAGTTTAAATATCAAGACGTTAACACTTTCGCGCTTTAGATTAGAGATAACTCGTCGCCGTTTTTTCTTACGATTCCGCATAACAGCCTACTTTTCTCGTCAATCGAAAAAATATTTCTATAAATTCCATTTTTTAACCGAAATGGATGGGGATACTCTCAGATTATATACGTTTTGTAGAGAATTTATTTGCGAATTTTTTGGTACCAGAATGAATATTATATCACATAAACTTCTATGAGTAAAAAAAAAATACACAAAGTATGTTTGGGGGTGTGGCGAGCGTGTGGCAGTGGGTTCCCTTTAGCCGTTGATATATCCAACACGTGGGAAATATTTGTATGTGTTATGTATATGTCTGTGTAGGGAATTTTACTGCGATCACTGTCATACAAATTATAAAATGTTTCAACAAGTATAAACATGACAAACATCAAACGAACGAAAACAATGCGTTCGTTTCTGCCGCGAACGCATACTGAGCGACGTGGTTCTATATTTGGCGCTTCTCTTACACATGCTTTGTACAAATGTTATACATTTCATCTTATAGAAAATTTTATTGCGAACACATTGGTATAAAAAAGAAATACGTACATAGAAAAGTAGGGTCAGGAAACGTATAAACTTTCCAAGCATGATTTCCCCCCTGTGTTTTCGCCAGTGCACTCGCGGCTAACTACTCTCCACTTCACACACTCTTGCGGGTGGGCAATTACCTATATTAAAACATTCATATGCATATGTCCGTGTAGAGAATTTTATTGCGATTCCAATGATACCAAAATTAGCGATGTAGGACAACTGTAGGCTTCGCAACCATTAAGAGAGTGGAAACATTTTGTTGCTGTTTGGCGCTCTCGGCGAGTGATCTGCATAGTTTTTTATTTGGTGTTGATACTCCTTATGCTTGGGCGGCATTTTATAGGTATGCTCTTATAGACAATTTCATTGCGAACACAGTGATACCAAATTTAAATACGTGCGCCTTCAATTATTGTCAGGACAGTCAAAAGAGTGTACACTTTTTCGGTCTTACCGCGTAGGCGCGCGAAGTGCCGAAAGCATCTGGGGTATTGTTTTTTTTTGAGCGCCGAGAGCGCGAAAGTGTTAATAAACAGCTTTATTCAAAATATCCGAGATGAAGTATACAATCCGAGTGATAAATTTCCATCTTTGAAAATTTATTTATTAATAGCCATACCTGACGGATTACTGGGTCATCAGTGGTGGTGACCTTGTGGAAGATGCGGTTAATACGAGTCAGCTTCTTTTCATTTTTAACCGTTACACGATCATAAGCTTTATCATAGTACTCAAGAGAACCACAGAGGTACCTGGAAAAATATCGAACCAATAATATATGTACAGTACGTCAAATATTAGGACCAAATTATACAGTACTTTTAATCACAAAATTGAATGGGTTATACAGGAATGTGAACACTTACAAGTCTTTTGGATCTTCAACACTGGGCAATGACAGCTTTGACAACCGAGGAAAGTCCATTTCTTCAATCACCTTCCATTCAGGTCGCACAGTAACTGAAGCATCACGGTTTTTGATGGGGGGATGTCCACCACGGTTCCAACGATTACGCTGGTACTGCTGCTTCTGCCAGTTGTTTTTGTTCTGGAATCCAAAACTATATCTCCTCATTAATCAAGAATGGCTCCAATTATTCAATCTCAAAAGATAGTTTCCATTGGCATCTATATACTTAGCATGCTTATATAAAATGTACACAGAAAATTACAATATTAATTCCATGTACTGTAATTACTGTATATTAAGACTGTCAATAAATGAGAGAAATGCAGAAATAATACTGATATTAGAGTTAATGGAAAGCAAATTTAAAAAGGGTTATATTTGGACTAATAAATAAATACATGACCAATGGTTGGCAAAGGAGATGGTTGACAAACCACTGGACAATTCACACAGAACAACTAAGTACCAATACTTTGGAGATGCCTGCTGTAGAAATAATACAACCAAATTTTGCTCAGGAAACTTACAATTTTTATACCATTAGTCACTTCAATCCTCAGTACAGGCAGCCCTTCTTGGTGTTGTAAGCACTTTTACACCAATTTTCAAGGTGTGTGAGAACTTAAGTCACATTTATGTCAATACTTGCAACCTCATTTGTAATGTTAACATTACAAAGCTGTTAGCACTTTTCATTTATATATTGTAAAGGCCTTAGCAGAGATATTAAAATTAAGTGGCGTCTACTTCAGATTCTACACTTTCACCAATGCTGCCAGAAGTTTCATTTTCTCATTACAGGATTTCTTAATGATGTCATCTGAACATTCAGAGTACTTGACACAGCAGCTGACAGCCAAGTGGACAGTGCTTTGGATTCGTAGTCCTGAGGTTCCGGGTTTGTTCCCCGGTGAAGGTGGAGACAAATGGGCAAAATGTTTCTTTCACTCTGATGCTCCTGTTACCTAGCAGTAAATAGGTACCTGGAAGTTAGGGGGGGTAACAAAAAGGAGGCCTGGTCGAGGACCGGGCCGCGGGGACACTAAGCCTCGAAATCATCAAGATAACCTCATGCTGCTTCACGTTTTGATGCAGCAAGAATTGCTGAAAGTTTGTGCACCACGATACAAAATGGTAAGACAAATGCTTATTTAATACAAGAAATACATACATGTGGAATTACAATGTACTTACATGCAACATAGCACAGTGTTCCAATCATGATAGCACAATCATTTAACTCTGTAGAGTTTCGTGCATTTCAAAATTATTACAGTACCATAATGTTAATGGAGGCTATCTTGAAGATTAAAGGATTTTGTTCTAAAATAGAACTGGGTAGGAGAAGATATCCAAGCTGAAGACTATTCAAGACACAGGACTAGACAGACACATGCATGTAGCACACCAATACAAGGTTACACACAACCAATTTGAAGCATTTACTATTAAAACACCATCGAGTACGTATAAGTAATAACTAATAAAGTCTCTACCTATTTAAAATCAAATTTTGTGATTATTGTGCACGGAAAAAAACATTAACAGATTGCCGCCAGCAGTTAACTTTGTCGTACAATAATCTACAGCTTTATTCTTGAGTGTGAGTGAATAAAACATTCAAGTTTAATTTTATGCAAAGAAGAAATCTGTTAACTACTTGTGTAGTCAAAGAGGAAAAGTTCAAACCATTAAGTCGGCTACATGCATGAGCAAATACTGCATCACACAGTATTATCAAATGTTCAATAAATAACAGCCCCACAAGAAAAAGTCGAACATATTGCAATACCTTGTACTGTATAAGGCTAGATTATGAGAATTGAAACCAAGTTCATTCTGTCCACCTTCCATTTTTTTTTTTTGCAAGACCAAAGATAACAGGCTCATGGGAGCCAACAATATTTGGAAGGATAAGAGCACAAACATGGACCAAGCTGCCCACCGAGTGCAGACTCCAAAGATATTTATGGTTTAACACATTACTGTAATTGGTCTAGAAACAATTAACACAATAGAAAAAAATACAAATAAAATTGCACTCTTCCTCCATTAACTACTATTAAACAACTTACTCTCTCTTGTTGCCCTTGCCAAGGACCTGCATTTGCTGGCCCTTCAGGTTGCGCTGATTCTTTAGGTTACGTTGATTGCGCATGTAGCGACCACGCTGGTATAATGGCTTGGGCACATTGGTCTTGTATACATGCTGGAAAGTGGATTCATCCTCTTCATGATAATATGCATACTGTTGCATGCTTCCAAAAGTTGACTGATATTTGACTGAAAAAAAGGAATAACCAATTCAGTTTCTACTTTATTTAGTAAATAAAAGTATAAACTGAATGTCTTAAATATTAAGAGAAGTCAGAAAAAACAACAATTTTAACTTCATTCAACACAATCTACTGACCATAAAATAAAAATCTCTAAAATTACATGACTTTTTTTCCCGTATTACATTGCTAAAAGAAATTTAACTCGGGAGAAAAAATATGTCTTTCCACATTTAGATATTTAAACTGGAAACTGAGCTTATGTAAACAATAAAACTCAGTGGCAATCCTACCTATACATGGAAACAAACACCCTGCCATTCATCCAAGATATTCCCCTATTCTTTATCACACTAAATTCCATGCACTAATAGTCTATGAACCCATTTTTTTTTGCACATTTACAGAGCAGGATGCTATAAGCCTACCTGTTAAGATTCTTTGCTCTTTGAACTCTTTAATTCCTACTAAGACAGCCCACATTTATTAGGTTTAGCTGGTACAGTACCGAAATGCTTGTTTATACGTAAATCTTTAGCAAATATTATCTAACACAGCGATGCTGTTTGTACTCGATATGAATTGCTACGAGTTAATCAAAACCCCGCTGTCACATAAGCTATTTCAGTACAACAATCTTCAACTTACTGGTACTAAAGACCACAAGTAGTCAAGTTTAGTAATACAATAACCCTGGCTTAAACCTCATACCATGTACTTTTAACAAGTAACCATTATACTGTACTCACTGGCATATCGACGATCCTGGTAGGTAGCACCAGTCCAATCTGACACCTTAGTAAAAGGGATAATTAATTAGAATTACTGCTGATATTTGACACACTATTTTACACTAGTACAGCAAAACAACAGGAAGAGCAGGATTGTTTCCTCCATGTAATTTGATTTGAAGTTAGATAAAACTAAAAATTATTGAAGCCATATATCAACAATGAAACATTAATTCATAAAATACTCTGTATTATCCATTGAAATATTTTATTGTGAAATCTGGCATGAAGTAAACTGCAAATGTACGTAATCCTAGTTTTTGTACAGTTACACTGTACAGGGAAGGGAAGGGCAACAGCTGAAAACTTAATAATCCTATTTAGTAATCCCGTGTGGTTTAGTAAACCTATTAAGGTTATCTAGATTCCCTAGCTCAGGGTGTGGCTGTCCACATTTATCTAAATTTACCCTGAGGGCCACTAACACTTTAGTGGCCTCGATGAGGACAGGAGCCATAGGCTCATCAAAGGTCACATGGTCACCTATTTAGTTACTAGCCAGACCCAATGGTGTTAAAGTCATAAACCATCTCTAAAGATATTACAGGAAGGTTAATACAAAATCTTAAAAGGTAGTCTCTTCCTCATTGAATAATACAAAATACAGCACAGTGTGTTCACCAGCAGATAAGACCCAAATATGTCTTGCATATTATTTTTACAGCAGTTACCTTGATGAAACCATTTTTTTGGTCAGTTGTAAAATGCCACTATAAAATTTCAAGAAAACATGCTAAAATTGTTTTTGTTTTCCACAAAATATCCTTGTAAAATAAGAGGTACATCTTATACTGAGGTGCATTTCATATGCCAGAATATACAGTAATATTTTTTGCTCGTAAATGTGTGTAGTAAAGATTCTACCAATACACATCATTTACAATTTTTTTTCAAGTTGTCTGGAGTATACCTGACATGGGCTCTAGGAGTTCTACTCTCCCAAGCCCAGCCTGGGGCCAGGCTTGATGTGGTATCTTGGGACCAAGTTAGGATTTAAACCTTGTGTCAGGTACTGAAATTAATGTGTTTATTGTCCACAATGTTTTCCCAAAAATGCAAACTGTCAATTTTTTTATATGAATCATTTCTTTGTTCAAACACATGAACAGTGAAGAAGTAGTGTTGAATTGCTGCACACCTGCCAATGACCCCAAGACCAGTTTCTCGTTTGCAAAGTAGATATACTAGCCATTAGGCACTGTAATCTATATAGTCATACTGGATTAGCATTTTTCTCATGATTACATTACCTCAACCAATAAGCTATCACACAGGATGGCCCTCCTGCCTAATCTAAAGGAAGCAATTATCAAAAGAAGGCACCAAAGCTGGGAAGGCTATGTAGCACCATCAAATGTGTGGGATATTGAAAAGACGCTAAATATTACCAAGGATGCCAATACGAGAACAAAAGCACATAAGGCGAACAATATCTACTCTACAAGTGCCTACCATATGCTTCCCACAAGGTTTACCTTTCACAAAGTATAAATGCTACACTTATTCTTGGCCACCCAATTAAATAATTTAGATTTAAAACCAACCATCTCTAGATATAATAATAAAATACCTCAATATCTGTATTTTATAAGTTCGCGTTCGGGTCGATTTCCATGCGATCGACACATGGAAAACTGTCGACCCATCCCATACAACTCCACATAAATCAAAAACTAAATAAACACACCCACTACTGGGCGTCACCACACTGAGCATTATTATTCTGTTGATAATACCTGAAGGCAGCATATCCCACCCCTGGATACACCCGTGACAAGATAATATGACACTGAAGGAGGCGCTGGCGAAGCGGCATGGAGGGCTTACCTTGCCCAGTCTGTCGCCCTTGGAGAAGGGCTGGTAGGGCATGTCTTTGAACTGCTCGGGCACGTCGCACGGCCCCCACCCATTTGGGTTGTCCTGAATGGCTATGGCCACGAACTTGGCCGTCATTTTGGAGTCTTATGCTCCAGACGCTGGCGACCGTCAACACCACGTTAGCCGGAGGAAGAGGCACACTCAATTGACAGTCTGGAAGACATGATTTTAATCATTAAAAAACACTATCTATATATTAATAAATTTGGATTAAATATATATGTAACGTATATACACAATTGTATTGATAAATGTAATGTAAAAGAGCTAAATATAAATAATTACTGCCCTATCGGCTTCACACTTGACACTGCGGCAGAGGAGCTGTAGAATGCGCAAATGTTTTGTTTTCACTTTCAATAACGTAGACAAATATAAAATTTTGTATCACATAATTCAGTATTTCTTTAACATTCCTGGAATATATAAATGTTAATTTCATTTTAGGAGCAATTTAATTAAAATATAGTATAATGTAGCAATTACTTGAATTTACAACTCTCTTAATGGTGCATTGCAGTAGCTAGAGTGCGTATATATATTTATATATATGTTGTATCTAATAGCCAGAACGCACTACTTGGCCTACTATGCAAGGCCCGATTTTCTAATAAGCCAAGTTTTCCTGGTTATATATTTTTCAATTTTATTTTTTCTTATGCAATAATAAAGCTTTCCATTACATTATATATATGGGTTTATTTTGTTTAATTTGAGTTAAAACTAAACTAGAAATATAACCAAACTTAACCTACCCTAAACTAACATAATTAAGTCAGTAGTTCATGTTCCTTATATAATCTAATAATATTAATTCAAATAAACCAATTGTAATTTTTTTTATAAAATAACGAAAATCACTCTGCCTATTAGACAAATCGGGCTATTGCATACTAGGTCGAGTAGTGCGTTTTTGCTATTAGGAACGATATATATATATATATATATATATATATATATATATATATATATATATATATATATATATATATATATATATATATATATATATATATATATGTGTGTGATTAAATACATAAATAGTGATAAATAGTGGTTATTTAAAGCAAAAATCAATCAGATGATGATGCTTGGCGCGCGTCGCTGGCTGGTTAGGTCAAGTACAGTATAATGTGTCTGGCCAGTAACTGAAAGGGTGACCGCGAGTGCATCTGTGTCCTTTGGCTCTATAAATCTAGCATGCTGTCTGTCTCAATCGGGAGATGTGTTTCCTGAGTGCATGACTATAAATTATGTGGCAGACATATGTGTGGCTATTTTATTATGCTGATCATATCCCAAAACACACCATGCATAGACCTATGTTTATTTTAATGATTAATACAAATGTTGATGAAAACAATATATATAAAGAGATGGCTGATAGTTTAATGAGAGAAATACACAATATATAAATCATCAAACTAATGCCAATGAATTTCTTCAGATCCCTGCAGCTATTAAATAATAATAATAATATATAATAGGCTCTCTGTAATATAAATCATCTTATATGCATGCTTATAAACTAATTGGATGTAGATAGGTTTTACATCTATCCTTGCTATCTATCATAAGAGCAATTTTGAACACTATACAAATTTAAGAGTCATGGCATTCTGAATTCATATAATGGGTTTATATATGCATTGTTTTGTCAAGTCCTAGCGTTGTTATCGACCCCCGCTGATAAGGTATATATGGTGTGAGCGTGTGTCGAGCCAGGCAGTGGTGATCTAGACACCGGCAGGGTGAGTGTGGTGAGTGCCTAGCCGCTGGCACTGTACTGGCTCTCTACTGGAGTGTACTGGAGACCTTGCGGACTGCGGGTGAGGGGCGCACGTGGGGGCCGTAATTACCGCCACTCTCGCTACTGACTCAACCCATGGCTTTGTTCGTCGTTTATCGGTAAAGGCTGACTGATTCCTGTCCCTATGAGGAGGTTGACCGTCTGTTTGACATAACATAAAAGTAAGTCTTAATTATGAGCCGTCCGGACTAAGCTGCTTTTGTTTTGGGGTTTGTAGCCTATGAATTAGCAGTTGCATCTTATATAAACTCACTATTATGGTGCATTCCTATCTGTAGACAATAACGAAGATATTGTTTTAGTGGATACTCATCTGTATGTACTTGCAGTGTGAGCTTTATGTCTAATAAAGGGTTAATTATGTCCACTGCTGATCAAGTTTGTTATTATTAGCCTAATAATTACGTATGCATCATGCTACTTCTTTTAATAATGCATTCTTCTATGCCAACAATAATGGGGATATTGCTTTGATAAGTATACTCGCCCACAATTATATATATATATATATATATATATATATATATATATATATATATATATATATATATATATATATATATATATATATATATATATATATGTCGTACCTAGTAGCCAGAACTCACTTCTCGGCCTACTATTCAAGGCCCGATTTGCCTAATAAGCCAAGTTTTCATGAATTAATATATTTACTCAAATTTTTTTCTTATGAAATGATAAAGCTACCCTTTTCACTATGTATGAGGTCAATTTTTTTTTATTGGAGTTAAAATTAACGTAGATATATGACCGAACCTAACCAACCCTACCTAACCTAACCTAACCTATCTTTATAGGTTAGGTTAGGTTAGGTAGCCGAAAAAAGCTAGGTTAGGTTAGGTTAGGTAGGTTAGGTAGTCGAAAAAACATTAATTCATGAAAACTTGGCTTATTAGGCAAATCGGGCCTTGAATAGTAGGCTGAGAAGTGCGTTCTGGCTACTAGGTACGACATATATATATATATATATATATATATATATATATATATATATATATATATATATATATATATATATATATATATGTCGTACCTAGTAGCCAGAATGCACTTCTCAGCCTACTATGCAAGGTCCGATTTGCCTAATAGGCCAAGTTTTCCTGAATTAATATATTTTCGCAATTTTTTTTCTTATGAAATGATAAAGCTACCCATTTCATTATGTATGAGGTCAATTTTTTTTTATTTAAGTTAAAATTAACGTAGATATATGACCGAACCTAACCAACCCTACCTAACCTATCTTTATAGGTTAGGTTAGGTTAGGTAGCCGAAAAAGTTAGGTTAGGTTAGGTTAGGTAGGTTAGGTAGTCGGAAAACAATTAATTCATGAAAACTTGGCTTATTAGGCAAATCGGGCCTTGCATAGTAGGCTGAGAAATGCGTTCTGGCTACTAGGTACGACATATATATATATATATATATATATATATATATATATATATATATATATACATATATAACAGTTGAGAGGCCGTGTTGTACAGTCACCCGTCCTGGCCACCACCAGGGCGTGACGCATCTCCTGATAACTCTGTCCCCCCTTCCTGACATGACTGTTGGGTGTCTCCGTTATTATGTCATATCCTGTGATGGGTGGATGACCGGTTGGATGGATGGTACATGGAGCTGGAGCAGTGGACCCCTCCCCCCCCTTTCGCCCGGACAACCTGTTATCTTTGGTTTAGCGCGGGCCTCCCCGGCGGCGCCGCCTGCAAGGACCTCTTCCCTGCTTCCAGAATAACCCGTAGGAAGAGGCCCACTCTGCCGCGGGCCAGATTCACGAAGCAGTTACGCAAGCACTTACGAACCTGTACATCTTTTGTTAATCTTTGGTGGCTTTGTTTACAGTTATTAAACTGTTAAAGAACTCCGAAGCACCAGGAGGCTGTTTATAACAATAACAACAGTTGATTGGGAAGTTTTCGTGCTTGTAAACTATTTAATAAATGTAACCAAAGCCGTCAAAGATTGAGAAAAGGTGTACACGTTCGTAAGGACTTGCGTAACTGCTTCGTGAATCTGGCTTCGTGATCTGGAGTCAGGACCTGATGAGTAACTACAGCAGAACTCGCCAACAGTCCTAACCTTCATCAGAGCACAGCGGTACTAACGCTTACCTAATAAAGCTGTCACCTCCTTCAGCAACAGCTTCATGAAAGGTTGAAGCTGTTCCTGAAGGAACAGAAACTTTTCCTAGAGAAACTGGAGGTTGGGAAGCTTTCTCCCAAGTGCCCAGCCTCCTAATGTTTGTACCGATGGTTCGCGCCCACACCAGGCCCGCTAACAACCTGCCCGTTCAACTTTTAGGTAGCATTACGATACGTAACGAACGTACCAAATGACACCAGCTATGAAAAGCAGCGGCTCACAAAACCCCCCCGTTTTCTATGAGTCGTTTGGTTAGATTTGGTGGGTGGCTTCGGTTCGTATGTTTCTGGTTAGGTTAGAACGTTGGATATTGTACGTTACGGCAGATCAGGAGAACGGGTCTGTAAGGGGAAACGGAGTCTCGCGTTTTGCACTCGTTATCCCTGAATAACATTCTAAATGGAGTACCAGTCACCAACACCAGAGATAAGATGCTATTATTTGTCCCACGATTATCTGTAAGAAAAATGAACATGCCTTAAGATAAGATTATTGGAACTGAAGAGTTTGGGTATATATGCGTGTCCTTGGGGGTAGCTATGTGTCCCTGGGGTACCTATGTGTCCTGGGGTAGCTATGTGTATATTGTATTATATTGTATATGGGAATGCATGACAGCGTGAGATGGATGTCCATTATCTGGTGTGTGATTGATCTTAGAGACAGACCCCTTCTGCTCCAAGACGGAACATAACCCAGTGTCTGTCTGTCTCAATGGCAGTGTTCTAGACACACGTGTGTGTGTGTACTCATCATATTGTGCATGTAGTATCGAGCGTCAGCTCTTGGTCCCCGTTTTCTCAGCTGCCGGCTTTCTAATATTTAATGGCTCACACCCCCACTAGATCGCACATCTGTGTCAGGTGAGCCCACTAGGGGCTCACCATAGCCCGTGCTACTTAGAACTTTTTGTTCCGAGTAGCTGAACCTAAAACAACAACAACAACCACCATATTTCTGTTATCTCTGCTTTACACCTTTGAGTGGAGTCACCATCGACTGTGACCTTCAGCGTGCCATTGTTTATGCCAAACATTTAGTTTTATTTTCATAGGGATCTTGCATATAAGAATTACCTATCTCCTTTTGGCTGTAGAGTCCAGCTACCTGGACATTCCTCGTATTCCATTAGTCTTGGGGTAAGGAAGCAACTGTTGTGGCTTGTCTAAACTTTCTGATGGCTCGCCTCGTACTTTTCTAGCTGAGACTCGAAGCTGGGACTCGAAGCTGGGGCTTTACAGACGTACATGTATGGAAAGGTTATGGCGGTACAAACATCGTAAGGCGCGAATTTGAGAGTAAATATTTATCTAATCGAGAAAACGCTTTGTCCGGTAGAGATACTGCTTGAGATACTTGGGAGCGTGTTATGGTTCAGTCGGTAATGTGAGTGACTGGGGCCCAGGCACGCGGATTCGATCCAATTGAACGGACTTAATATTTCCTCACAGATACATCACGTACTCGTAATTTCGTTATTCATTTATGTACTCTATTGCTATATGTTTACATTTTATTGCTCAGGATAATATCACCTGGTAAACTGTTCTGTATCGGTTAGACTGATACAGACTGATAGACTGATTCTGCAGGCGATAAGTCACAATAACGTGGCTGAAGTATGTTGACCAGACCACACACTAAAAAGTGAAGGGACGACGACGTTTCGGTCCGTCCTGGACCATTCCCAAGTCGATTCTCAAGTCGAAACGTCGTCGTCCCTTTACTTTCTAGTGTGTGTGGTTTGGTCGACTGATTCTACTTTGTTCTACTCGGTTAGAGGACAGATATTATATTTCGCTGGAGGTGAAAACATTTACATGTATAAAGTCACCTGTGTTGTTAACAGTGCCAATGAATGTCTGTTGCAAAACACTGTGCTTCCCTGGTCTTACAACTTCTTGCTTGACTACGGCCGCTGTAAACACCTTACTCTAACGACAACCTCAATAGCTCCTAGACCTTGAACTGGAGAAAGGCTTCTAACACTCCAAGCTTGAAAAAACCCACAGAACCCCTAGAAAAGCACCGCAGAAAGCCTCAGACGCTGTGACATCAATTTCTAAAAGATTGTCAGGAATTTGCCAGCTTAGTTCACACTACTGATGTGCCTCTCTGAAGATCAGCTTGGTATTTACTCGGCTCCTAGACCCCTTTACTTTTGAAAAAAAAATCCACAAGGGCCGTGATGAGGGTTCGAATCTACGTCCGAGAGGATCCTAGTCCCGCCTTAGTCGACTGTAGCTGCGACATGGTAAAATAATTACAACAGGGTGTTCTACTACTTTTCTTGATCTGTAAGCTGCCTCCTTGTAATTATGTTTACCTGTTTTATGACTTCGGTTCTACCAAGTTCAAATTAAAAATACTTTATTCATAAATATTTGTATATTTAGTTTACACAAAACATTATTTACCCAAGATTAAGTAAAAATAACAGGATAACACATAATCACTATAATTATATATACTGTATAATCTAGATTTATATTTAGAATCTATATTTGTCAGTGATTTATACAAAATCATTTTTGTTGTGGGAATGTGGGTCAAGTTTTCTTCCCTCGCACCACCTCAGTAGTTTGATCTGGTGCTTCTGTAGCAGTCTGTAGCCCTCACCAGCCCTGCCTGTAGCAGTCTGTAGCCTCACCAGCCCTGCCTGTAGCAGTCTGTAGCCTCATCAGCCCTGCCTGTAGCAGTCTGTAGCCTCATCAGCCCTGCCTGTAGCAGTCTGTAGCCTCATCAGCCCTGCCTGTAGCAGTCTTTAGCTTCTCACCAGCCCTGCCTGTAGTAGTCTGTAGCCTCACCAGCCCTGCTTGTAGCAGTCTGTAGCCTCACCAGCCCTGCTTGTAGCAGTCTTTAGCCTCACCAGCCCTGATTATTGTTAGCTCATTAGCATCATCCGTGAACATGTAGGAATGTCCATGTTTTCGCTGAGGTTGCTGCCTAGAGGACACTAGGACACTAACAAGGAGCCAGATTCACGAAG